CTGCAATTTAGTGAAACTCAGCTCAAGGCTTTTGGTTCCGCCGAAGAATGTGACGAGCTCTTTTCCAATGGGACAATTGTAGCAGCTTTCGACGAAGTGGCATACCTTAAGGCTATTATCTCTAAGTACTGCTCCAAATACGCCATGGTTGAGCCTTTCTTTAAAACCGCTTCCTTTAAAACCGCTGGTTTTGGCTTTGTAAGTTCGTTATATTTTTCCTTAACTTTATTTTTACAAAATATCCACACAAAAATATTTATTTTCAGTGATAGCATTTTTTTTTTTACTTTTTCATGGTGTGTAGGCATTTCCTAAGAATTCACCTCTGACGGATGATTTCTCAAGGGCTATATTGAATTTAACTCGAGATAATAAAATGGAAAACATCAAGAACGAATGGTTCAAGAAAGAAAGTAACTGTTCTGATCCAAAGACAGAACTTTCGTCCAACCGTCTCAGGCTAAGTAACTTCTTGGGTCTGTTTTTAATAGCAGGCATTGCTTCGTTCTTGGCCTTTCTCGTCTTTGTAGCTCTCATCTTGTACGAACACAGGCACACGCTTTGGAATGATTCCAAAGGTTCCTTGTGGAGAAAGCTAATTTTTTTTTTCAGAATCTTGGATGAGAAGGACATGAATTCGCATACGTTCAAGAACAATGCCGTTCATAATGTGATCTCGCCAATAACTCACCGCACTCCGAGTCCTTCCACTGTGCAGATGACCAGACCATGGCCACGTAGCATGTCATTAAACAGGAATTTTGAGCTAAGAAGGGCCTCTTTATTCATGAGCGAAGAACGTTTCACAACGCTAACGAAACATGATGAAAATGGAGAATCTGATATGGAATCTGGAGCTAAATGATAGAGAGAAGTTAAGTAAACCCTATAACTAGTTCCTTAAATATTATTTGTGTTATACATAGTGGCAAAAGGGTAACACTTTACACACGAGTTAATAAAAAACCCTAAAGAGAATATATTGCCTCAATCACTTCGTTTTCTTTTGTTTGTCGGTCTAAATCACAACAATTCGTAAAGTATGTAATTAAGTTATTCTGTTTTTCCGACTTATTCCATGTAACTAAGTTATACTCTTTTTACGCCTTTGATAATATTTGGATCATGAGAGCTTATCTTTAGAGTGCTGTTATAGATCGGATCTTGCTAGAAGACAAATAAAAATTCGTTCGTCGAACACTAAAGAAGACCGAACCACAATTTAAAAGAAGTAGTGAAGTTGAAGATACTAAACTAACTCATACCTACAAGAATCGAGATGTCGTCCTTTAACAAAAAAAAAAAAAGAAGAATCGAGATGTCGTTAATCTTCTCTCTCTTTGAAACCATACATTTTCTTGTTATGCCTCTTTCAAACCTTATCTTTTTTGTTTATTTTTATCAAAAAACTTTTATGTTTATTTTTAGGGCTTTTACAAACCATTTTTTTGTTTTTTGAATGAATGTAAAATTATATTCAATCAAAAGCTTTGTTACATCAAGTGCTACATAAGTTTGAAATTGGATTGAAAGTCAAATCTACTACTCAATCTCTTGTGGCAAACCAATACATGAGGCTATCATCATAACTGTGGTCACCCTGGATTCTGATAGAGCTCAATCGGTTCCGGACAGTTTTGTCAAGTACCATAACCATCTACTGCGCCGATGTCTAATTTTCGCCGTGCCTTCTTCTGTTTCGTTCTCTCCATATGCCGTACACTGTTGCTTGAAAGGTGTATCTAATGACAAATAGCTTGAGACGGTCATAATTCAGATCCCGTAAGAGACCAACTAGAACCTCCCAATCTGTGCTGAATGAGTTTCCAAGTATTCGTTTCACTAAGGTAGTCCATACCTGAGAGGAGTAAGGACAAGTGAAGAACAAATGGCTTTTTGTTTCCATCGGACATTGGCATAAAGCGCAAGATGCATCAACAGTTTGGCTCCACTTCATCATACGGTCTCCTGTATCTAAACGATTGAGCATCGCAGTCCATACAAGAAAAGAGTATTTCGGAGTAGCATGTGTGATCCAAATAATATTTACAAACCATCTTCTTTCCTTTGTGTGTGTGTGTGTGTGTGTGTGTGTGTGTCATATATACAAAGAGGAATCAAACAAGTGAAATCAAAGTAGGAGTAGTGCTTGATCTCCAAACTGGGTTTTCCAGGATCTACTTTACTTCCATTAACATGTCGTTGTCCGATTTATGCAAGGAGCATGCTGATTACACCACTAGACTTGTGATTCAAGTCAGAGATTCCATGGAAGATGTTGTTCAGGCTTTGATATACTCAACATTTGCATACATTTAGCATTTCATTCTGCATATCTTTAAGTCCCATTTCATAGCATTTAGTGTAAAATTTATCTACTTAGGAACATTTAACTTTTAAAATAGCATTTTGCATTTTTCATTGCATTTGGAGTGCTTTCGTAGGTGTTTGAGGCGTTTAGCAAGCTGGAAACAAGTTGGGGTGGTGACTGGAGCAAGACAAAGAAGCTAGAGGCTGATCAGAGCTCAAAAGTGTCCAAGAAGTTCGCAGAGCAGAGGCTAGATCTTCTCTGATCAAGTTGATTCTAGATCTTAGGCATTTCATGCACCAGAAGTGTTTGATGAAATGCTTGAACCAACCATCTAAAGGATTTTACATTCCTAGCTCATGAGAGTGATTGTCTAGGGTGTTTATTGGCTTTCTAGAACTGAATCTTATGCTTTTATCAATTTCACTAATGAGAATTAGTTCTTGAAATTGGTAATTAGCAAAGTGATTAGTACCATGAGAGTGGATTAGTCTTGTTAATGAGTTCTTTGCCTAAGGATTAGCAATCATTAAACTGTTTGAGCATCATAAACTGACTTGAGAATCTCCCAAGGTCAATGACCCTCATCCCAAGTGCCTCCATTTGCATTTCTTTCATCTCTTGCATTTTTATCTTATGCTTTATGTTCATTTAGGTTGTTAAAACCATTTCGAATTTGCTTAGCTCACTTATGTTTCATGCATTCTTGAGTCTTTATCTTGACCTTACTGGATTTGACAAAGAACCCCAAGCTATACTTCAATTGATTAAAAAGGGGGTTCATTTGTAAAGAGTATACAAAAATCCCTCTTTCAGGCTTCAGCTGGAGGTTCGTGACTTCTCTCTCTTCCTTCTCCACAGCCTATGTAACGCAATATATAGATCTATTAGTACTTTTTCTTGATTGTTGAGTGAAACATAAGTTCAACCAATAGGAACTAAGTAGTAAGACTAAACATGATTTAATTATCTTGGTGCTGTTTTCTTCGAATCTGGCCAATCCATTACATGACTTCATATTGTAGGCAATGTCCATAATAGCTATATAAGCATGGTATTCTCAACTTGTCTGGGTTGAGACGCTAACTACAAGAATATTCGACACACAAAACTATTTTCATAATATATATGTGGATCGATCGACAATGGCTCTAACTGGTAACCTGTAAACGAACAAAAAGAATGAGAATGAATTGAATGAAGAGGAATAAAATATATGGAACTCATTCCTCCTCATATTTTATAAGGAATATTTTAACACTGTAATTCCCTAATTAATATGGAATGGTAAGCATTAATATGGAATACACATTTCTTATAAATGGTGTAATTTTTAAGGAATGAGGGGGAATTGTCTTATTCCCCCTCATTCCTTGGTCACCAGTTACAGCCGATATATTTTCGTAACTATTTCTTTTTCTTATTTGTTTGTTATTGTGTTACAAAATTATATAGCGAGGTTGTATATATAAATATATCAATAGAAATGAAATAGATGAGATATATATATATGAACATGCTTCAATGGAAGAGAGATGAAAAAGGAAAGTTGCATATACGAGAGTTCAACCTTATGTTTAGGTTTAGAGTCGAGTATTAAAAGTTTTTTTTGTGGGCAAAAGGAAAATGTTAACACTTTTGAGCCGCAAAACGGAGTTTGTATTCTTAAAGCTTTGCAAAAATACAAGGAGGTTAGGATCTGGTAGCTAGGATTCGTATCGTAGACAACCTAAGAATGAGTTAGAGTTGTGCAACACCAAAAATAAGTGTAATCATTAATTACCTTATAAGAATCTAGTATTTCAAAGTTTTCTTTGTAATCTTTTTTTTAGTGTTGATTGAATTGCGGTTTGCTAAGTTTTCCACACTTACATATTTATGATTAATGTCTTTTTAATCGATTTGAAGAAAAGAAACATGTTGACTATATTTGTTTTGGATTTTCCCACAGTATATGTCTTCATGTCTTATTCTCGGAGACGCGTAAGATAATACATGTGTGGTCCTGCAACGGCCAAGGTGTTTGATACTTTGATGAGATATGGAATTACCCAAAAACACGTTAACTCAATTTTGGTTTTCGTACAATGTTCTTGCACTAAATGGGGTGACAATTATCATTTTTTTTGTTTGATTGAAATTACCCTTGGACTAAAATTAAATTTTGTAAAGCTTCTGCCTTCCAGGCAGAGCTTTCCCGTTGATTTATCTCCATAACGGAAGTGGCAAAGATTTCAAGTATTATAAATGGTCAATTTTTGAATGTCTTCTAAAATCGTCTTAACTTTTCAGAGGAAAATTACAAACGAAATCCAAACTTTATTTCCGATTCCCCAAAAAAAAACCCCAACAAAAATACAAGTGTAAATTAATTTTTATTTGTTGACAAAAAAAATTAATACAGTATCTTTTTGTTTTTCCGCTTTTAGTGTAAATTAAACTCTAAACGATTTTTTTATAAAGTTTCTTTTTAAAAATGATGGTCCAATTGGTTAAACCCTGAACGATATTCCCGTAAAGTTTGGATATGCGAATGATTACAAGTAAACTCAAAATTAAATCATCATATCACTTCACATGAAGAAATCTATTCATAACTTCAAACAAAGAAGCACATGGTTTAAAGTTAAAAACATATAAACCAAAAAACACCATTTAAATAAAAATAGTTCTCTCTCTGGCATGGTTACCAATGCAGAACCCTTGGTTCTCTGATGGTCGTGCTTCCCGCCTGAACCCCTCGTCTCTCGCCGCCGATGAAGGTCTTCTTCCTCCTCCACCTATCCCTCCTGACCCCCCTGATCCCTCTCCCCTGTCAATAGCCCAATTCCCTCCTCTCTCATCCCCGTCTAACCCAAAGCCCAAAGCTTCTCCACAAACTGCTCCGTCTAAGGTGCCAGTGGAGCAAAGCTCTGTTCTTGGTTCTCCAACTACTACTGATGTTGAGATGTCGCAGGCGAGCCCTGGTGCTACTGCGGAACTTCCAAAAACTCAGTCAATCCCTTCCATTATCGCTGATTCCTCCACTGTTCAGATAGATCCAAAAACTATCTCTACTGTTCAAAAAACCCTAACTCAAAAGAAAAATTTTACCACTCTCCCTCCTAAATCCTCCAATCCCCTTCACACAAATAAAGCCTCATCCTCCAAAACCTCCCCTGCAACTACCTTACCAAACCCTATCGCCCAGACGGCTGAACCAGTACTACCTAACCCAAATAACCTTCCTCCTAAACCACTACCTGCTCCTACTCTAGCTGAGAGGATCAAAGTCTTCGAAGATAAATCGCTAATGAGATTAGCGCCAATTGCTTACTCTCTAGAAGGAGTGCCAAGGGTCCTGATCCCGGATGAAGTCTTCGAGCAAGGTGCAGAGATTCACAAAGACTTTATCGTCTGCTACTTCAATGGAAGAGCCCCACCTTATAGCCAAATCCAGAGTGTCCTAAACCATATGTGGGGCAAAGGAAAAAGGTTAGAAATTCACAATAACCTAGCAACTAGATCGATGATAGTTCGAATCCAAAGTGACTACTTACGATCCAAGATACTGGAAAAGGGGGTATGGTATGTGGGTGACTCGATGTTCCACACAGCGCAATGGACCGCCGATCACTCGTCGGATCCAACACCACAAATCACGATGCAGCTATGGGCGCACCTCACGGGAGTTCCCCTTAACCTGAGACATCAGTGAGGCCTTAGTTTTGTGGCAGGGCTAGTCGGAGAGCCTAAAAAAACGGACGACTTTACTAAAAACCTAGTCAGCTTGACCCTTGCCCATGTAAAAGTGGAAGTAAAACTTACCAAGGAACTTCCTCGAGTTGTGGAGTTTGAAAGAACGAGTGGAGCAGTAGTTGAAGTCCTTGTGGATTACCCTTGGATGCCTCCGACATGTTCCCATTGCAAAGAACTAGGCCACATCGCAAAGAATTGCCTCCTGTTACCAGTTCTTGAGAAGGTGATCCAACCGCCTGTTACAAAGGGCCAAACAAAGAAAGAATATCAGCGGAAAAATAAAGGAATACCTGATTCTGAGAAGACTCCGGAGATCCCAAAGGTCACTCCTAATCCAAAAAACTCAATTGACTTTCCTCCAAATGAAGCTCAATCCCTTACTCCAGCTGTCTCCCCCCCTCTACCTCAGGGAGACAAAAACTCCATTTATTCTGGTGTGGATGGCAGGCAGGCCTATATTTATTGGTTTCAATAGGACTCCTTACGAGCGTTCTTTCTATCTACTATTATCTAAAAATAATCAAGTTATTAATGACTGGACGAAACCAAGAAATAACCCCTCACGTGCGAAATTATAGAATATCCCCTTTAAGATCAAACAATTCCATCGAATTGAGTATGATTGTATGTGTGATAGCATCTACTATACCAGGAATATCAATGAACCCGATTATTGCGATTGCTCAGGATACCCTTTTTAGCTTCTAGAATCTATTTCTTAGTTCAAGATCCCTCTTACTAACTGGAATCAAAGAATTAGTAGATCGGTTCCGCCCAAAATGGGAATGGACTAAGGTTATGAACTTATAATCTATAATCTGATGATCGAGTCGATTCCATGATTATAAGTTCATTCCATACCGGACCAGACCGGACCGGAATGAGAAGGGGTCATTCGAGCGTATCTAAATAGATACTATGTTTACATAGGGATCCCTGCGTCGTTACATTCCATTTAGGATTAGGAATAGGCGAAATCTGACCTACTTTTTACATATCTCTCGTTATTTGGGACCCTATTCACCTCTTTGGTTAGACTTCTATTGAATCGAGAAATAGGTTTGATTGTCCATCTTTTTGATATAATATATATATAAGGCATCCTCCGGATAATTCAAATCTAAGCAATTAGATGTCCGACTCGGGCCTATATGACATGACCGATCAATAGAAATACTTCACCACTCCACCTTTGTCATATATTCAATACACCGTACTAGATAGATATCATATTTATGGAATACGATTCACTTTCAAGATGCCTTGGTGGTGAAATGGTAGACACGCGAGACTCAAAATCTCGTGCTAAAAAGCGTGGAGGTTCGAGTCCTCTTCAAGGCATAATATTGAAATGGAATAAGTTCGGCAGCGGATCGCGAAATCTTGGCGATCTTCTCTATCTAATGAATGGGGAGGGGGAGTCCGCTTTGAAATCGTCCGCCCTGCGCCCCGCAGTATATGATTCAACAGGAATCACACAAGGGTAGATTGATACAATCTAAACCTCTGGTAAAATGCCCCCGTAACCCAGCAGATAAAGTACATTACATAGTCCGTTTTAGGGATTGGTGACTTACCCATTCAGTGACTTTGGCACTGGATGGGCGTTACCAAAATTGGTACTATCGGGTCGGGTGAATTCAATAATAGACGCCTGGCGGCATTCCAGCCTTCCGTCTCCTTTCAGGACCTATCCTAAAGAGAATCCAGTACTTCTTGGTCGTGAATATCTGAATAGGGCGAACCACTCCGTGGATATCTTTACTTCGGAACAAAACAATTAGAATTAGGCTCGGTCAACTGGAATGTGTATTATCCATATAGGGGATCTTCCAATTGAGAAGATCCATCGACCTGAGACGAAGAGAAAGGTCTATCTATTTTATTTAGTTATTCAGTTGATTCGTTATTGGAACAGATAGCAACAACAATTTCATCCGACATGCGTATTTTTGATTTTCCAATGGATTTCCATCCTTCATTAATGGAAATTTTTTTTTATGTAGTGAGTAATAGCTCCGGTTGTTCGCTGTTCAAGAATTCTTGTTTAGGCAGTTCATACCATCCATACATAGTGTTTTGATCTCAGATTTTAATTCTTCCATGTTTCAGTAGTAGCATATTGTTCCATGGAGCTAAGTGGAAGAAACAGGTGTTTCTACAACTCTACCACCCAGTCAATTCCGTTCCACTTAATCTCTATTTCGTGGCCACATATCTTTCCGGCTAAGTAATGGGAAACCTTTCTCCTGTTACATTACATGAATCCTATTTTCATTTCATCCGGGAAAAGCCATCTTTTTTTCAACAATGTCTTTGTCATTCGATCCAATAGCGTTCCGTTAGATAGGAACAGATTTGATAAATACTGATAACTCTCGGATAGAGTATTAGAACGGAAAAATCCATTAGATAATGAACTATTGGTTCTAAGCCATTTCTGGCGCTGAATCAACAATTCGAAGTGCTTTTCTTGCGTATTCTTGATAAACCAGCGTTTATATATAGATGTAGGAGGATCTGTTTGGGAAGTAAGAAGCCCCTTTGACATCTCTTCATCTGCAAAGAATTCTCGATGTGAAAACACAGAGACAAAGGGCTGATCTTTGAATAGGAAAAAGAGTGGATCTGCGGGGTCCCAAATGAATTGGCTTATTCTAAAAAAGCCTTGTTCTTTGGAAGACCTATCTCGTCTCTGGTACTGCATGGTTCCGCTCTGCAAGAACTCCGAATCATTCTCTTGAAGCTCATACTTTTCATCATAAATGATCCGCTTGCCCCGAAATGACCCGGCCAAATAGGGAAATCCCAATTCATTAGGCCTTTCGATACAATCAAATAAAAAGCCCCGAGGGCGCCATATTCTAGGAGCCCAAACTATGTGATTGAATAAATCCTCCTCTATCTGTTGCGGGTCGAGGACTCCTTCTCCTTCCCCTTCTTCAAACTCCGATTCGTATTTTTCATAGAGAAATCTCTGATCAACGATAGAACAAGATCCATCTTGCATCATATATAAGGGATCCCTTGGTTCGGAGCGAAAAAGCAATGTAACTCGATCATTATCAAACTGACTGCAATCTTTTTCTGTCCGTGGGGATCCCACCAAAGCGCCTTGCACTTCTAGTAGGCCATGAACTAGATCCGAATCATTCTCAATGAATCCATAAGAAGTGATCCTATTTTTTTCATCGGGTCCGGGCAGAGACCAAAGGTCTTGAGCGACCGATCCGGCAGAACAACTCAAAAGATAAAGAAGTATCGTGAATTTCTTCATGCTCGTTCCAAGTTCGAAGTACCATTTGTACAAATAAGAATCCCCTTCGTTACATGATTTCTTCTTCATATAGATAGATATAGGATCTATGTGGCAATTACTTAGAAGTACATTTTGTGCAACAGCCCTTCCTATCTGATAGAAAAGGATCCCATGATCCTGAACCGATCTTACCTGGGATCGCAAATCCCAAGTTTGTCTATGAAGAGCAGATCTAATTGTATTAGTGTCTATAATTGATTTCTTCTGTGTAATACTAATTGATAGGGCCTCATTGGTAAGTGCTACAAGATCTCGTGCACTGGAACCCATGGTTATGGACTCGAATCCATTAGTATGGAACATTTTCTTTTCCAAGTGAAATCCCCTAGTATAGGAAAGAGTGAAAAAGTGCTTTCGTTGTTGTGGAATAAGAAGCCTTCTTATTTTAATGCATGTATTTAATTTATTCGGGGCTATTAGAGCGGGATCCACTTTTTGGGGAATATGAGTCGAAGCAATAACAAGAATATTTCTCGTGGAACATCTTTCACAATCCCTGGAGAGAGAGTTCACCAATAGACCGAGGGCTAAGTAATTCGACTCATTCACATCAAGATCATGAATGTTTGGAATCCATATTATGCAAGGAGACATTGCTTTTGCTAATTCGAATTGAAGGGTGATATAAAATCGGT